TCGTCCCGTCTTCCCTCCTTAGCTGAAGAAGTCTTTGGAAATGGCTTCCACAAAGTTGGGGGCGGACATGAGGATCCCGATGGTGCAGAGGATGGTGAAGAGCGAGAACGCCACCAGGCAGAGCCGGTCAATCACCGCTGCGGCGAACTTCCACTCGCTGCAGACCGTCTCCTCCTCATCTTGGCCGCGGAAACGCCCGGCGATGTATCTCACCTCCTCCAGGATCTGGTTCAGCTCCGTCTCCAAGGCCGAACCCCCAGCTGCTCCCCCCGCTCTTCCTCCAGCTCCAACCCCTCCTCCTGCTCTCAGCACGTCTTCCTCAGCACCGACGCCGCCTCCAATGAGCCGCGAGCACAGGAGCTCAGGGTCAGCGGGGGATCCGTAGTGGAGTCCTTCCACACCCCTGAAGCCGACGTAGAGGAGGTTGCTGTTATTTACCTGTGGGTTGTGCCGCAGCGAGCCCTGGCTGACGCTGAGCTCCAGGCTGGACAGGCTGCCGCGCCGACGCTTGGCGGCGTTGTGACACGCTGGACGGACCTTCGCTTCGCCGGGGCGCCGCATCCTCAGGAACCAGGCACACCAGTTCAACAAAATCACACGAGTCTAAAGAAGAAAGAGAAGAAAGTCATTATTTCAAAGTAAATTTGATTTGATTTAACTCTGATATTTATTTTTATCAGAGTTCCAGTTTTGCAATTCTGTGTTTTGGTTCCTTGGAACTTACGATTAAGATGTCGCTTTGTGCGTTTGGCTTCTCATTCTCGTCTCCGTGTTTAGTACGAATCCTTCAAGTTGTTTCCTGTTTTATCATTATTATATATTTCTTATATATTTTATCTGGCTTCTTGATTAGGCCTTCCTTCCCCTGTGCGTTCGTCCCCTACAGCTTCAAACCCGTTTGGATAATATTTGGACTTTTTGTTCACCTTTTGGATGTCATGACTTTAAACTTATAAATAACCTCATTATTGGAAACTCCTTTTCCAATTTTCATTTAAATGTTAGCTTAAAAGTGCTTGTATGAAACATGTATGAATGGGTGAATGAGGCTTGTGGTACGAAAGTGGTTCGAGTGCACAGACAGAGTTGAAAAGCACCATTTAGGTGCGAGTCCATTTACCAAGTAGGTGAAAAACATTTTCTTAGGATTTTCTGCAGCCCCGTAAGGAATGCATCCTACGATTCAGTAGCTTGTAGAACTTCCTTCAGCCAGTCAGCGGTCGGAAGGAGCTCAAATCATCATCCCTCCACCACGCTGACAGTTGCCAGGAGGTGTTTGGTTTCCTCCAAACGTGCTGCTGTGCACTGTGCTTTGTTCAGATGCAGCTTTGCAAACCTCAGCTGTTCTTTCTGTGTCTCAGGTTTAGTTTCTTAATTGAACCGTTCACAGTATTTTATTGTTCTCTGATCACAGGCATGAGGATGCTCACTAAGAGCACAACCCTGCATGCCCAGTGCGTCAGTCTGTCATTACACCGCCATGAGACTGTGATGGTGAAACAGAGCAGGGCGATATGGCCAAAAATATTTATCACGATATATATTTGAAAATTTGCGATAACGATATAACTGACGATATAATTTCTGCGAGACAAAATGCAACTCCACAACTTTACTAGCGCAAAAAACCCCCCATCCATTTAACAGTGCAAATTCCTCGCTGAAAGTTTAACCAAAAGGCATTTCCAGTAGAAATGGGCTGACATAACCATGTATAATATCCACTGAAGTTAAAAAGAGGAGCTTCAGTGCAGTTTCATGTCGTCATTAAGACGATCAGCATTTAAACCAGGAGGCGACTGCTGTTCATCGCTGGATCGTTGTCTACCGCCCGTTAGTGAAGTCAAGCTACAGAAAGTCTAGTTAAGAGTGTTTTCCTTTGTGCGTCGTTCTTAACCCTGTCTCCCTGTCTACAGAGCTTCCTGGATTTTCCCCCGTGTGATTCCCGTGTGTCGGAGTGTGAGCCTGTGATCGTGTGTGTGGATGATCTGAAGAACGCGTGCTTTCCCC